AAATAGGCATTGTACAACTTAAACTGGTTATTTTTAAATAAGTAATTTAAAGGACAAATTGCATGGAAAAAATTAACGTATTTTAATTTGATTTATATTTTAAGTAGCGTACTTTCGAAATTTTTATTTTGATACCTAAAAAGTAAAGTTTTAAACATTTAAGTAACTGGGTAACCGGTTGAAGTATTAATCTACTATCATGCTGATGTGGCGAGTGATATGATATCCAACTCAGTATTATTTGCTGACGTGGTTAATGATATAGTTTTTTCTTAATCTAAAATTGGTTGAAAAAGTTTTAAACATTTAAGTAACTGGGTAACTAGTTGAAGTATTAATCTATTATCATGTTGATATGGCGAGTGATATGGTATCCAACTCAGTATTATTTGCTGACGTGGTTAATGATATGGTTTTTTCTTAATCTAAAATTAGTTTTCAACCAGTTACCCGGTTACTTAAATGTTTAAAACTTTACATCTTAGGTACCAAAATAGAAGTTTTAAATTACGTTACCCAAGATATGAATCAAATTAAAATACATTACTTTTTCATATATTTATCCTAATTTAAATACCTAAGTTTTATTACTAATTCAGCTAACTCCAAAAGTGTTTGTAATCAACACTTAACAAAAAAAAGTTTAACTTGCAAAAGTTGTCATGATACAGGACCATCAAATTTGTGTGTGTTCCCTGAATTTTTTTTATGAGAGGTTGTTTCAAACACTTACCCATTGAACATTTATGGTAAAAAAATCATTTACTTACCGGGCAAGATTTTATTCCATCAAAATGACATCATGTTCAATAATTTACCCGCCAAGTACTAACCGTGGTAAAAATCATCGCTCTCACTTACTGAATAAGATTTTATGTTCTTGTCTTTGCTCTTACCGTGTAAATTTTTTTATTCTTACCATATTTATCTGTTAAGATAATGTTATTTGATAAACGATTACCTGGATAAACATTTAGTAAACATTGATTTGGATAAACATTTAGTAAACAGTTGACGAGTTGGGGGATTTGGTAGGCCTTGCTGAGGCTATTTCTTTTGGGAGTTGTTATTGGTGTGTGTTTTTCTTTTTGTAGGTGGTCTTTTACTTTTGGTTTGTTGGGTCAATTGGAGTTTTTATATTACATTTTAGTAAAATTAGTTGTATATGATGTTTAAAATGTTTAAGTATTTTAGGGGCCGTTTATTAAACATGTACACAGTAAGTGTTTACGGGTAAAATTTAACATTACTAATTACTTACTCGATAAGATTTTAGTCTATCAAAACGACATTGTATGCAACAATTCATCTGGTAAGCGCTTACCGTGGTAAGAGTCGTCGCCCTCACTTACCGGGTAAGACTCATGGTCCTTGTATCGCTCTTACCTTGTAAGATTCTTAGTCTTTACCATATTCATCCGGTGAGGTAATGTGACTTGATAAACGCTTACCCGAGTAAGTGTTTGGTAAACGGCCCCTTAGTATACTATATAGAACTTATGTTTATAAGACTAAAGTATAAAACATGAAATCTAAAAGTGTTATAATAGGTTTATTAGAATAAAACATTATATCATCTATTTTAGACGACGCGTTTGAGAAGTGTCATATAAACTCATCTTTATATATGACACTAGTGTTAATGTGACTATTTTTCAAATAGTATCATATAACACAGCTAATATGGCACTTTATTTTGTACCCAAATCGTCATAAAAAAACTTATCATAATGCCTAAAAGTGTCCTATAAATCGATGATAACACTTTTAGGCATGACACCTTTTGATTTGTACCTATAAACTTAAGTCTCATGAAGCTATTTATTGAGACGATTAGAGATTTTATGCGTTCTATAAAACCAATTCTGTTATAGTGTTTGCGTTTCTCTCTGTCTTGTAAAAACTTTCCTATGTATGTAGTGTATTCTTTTTCTTTAGAAGGGTGTCTTAGGCTATGTCTAGACTAATCCCGACAAACTGTGACTACAAGAAATCAACTCTGATAAACTCAATAGCCACGTTATGTACATCTGGAATCGAACTCTGGACAAATGGGATATTCCACCACATTCCATCCAGGCTTGGTTCTTGTCGATCTGTTTACAACCTGTTCTAGTTGTAACCAGCCTATATTGAAAAAGCCTTAAGATGTTAAATGGTCCTTTGGCCGGGCCTTGTAATAAGGTATTGGTAAGGGTTCTCTTAATTGGCAACCGGTTAAACTCTAGATCTATATGGGCAACCGGTTAGATCCTAGATCTATACGTGTTTTTATAAAATAAAATAAAAAATGTTTCTTTTTTGCATTTTTATCTGATTGCTAAATCTAAAATATTCAATCAGTTGAAATAGATTTAATCTAACACCTTATTTACAAATGGAAGCAAACGTATTTTGTAGGACCTTATAGGTTTACATACTCCCCAACAGTATCTCTATGTAACACATGTTATGGGCATATAACAACTTACAGATATGTATACAAACATGACAAATTTTCTTTCTTTACTATCCTTTCAGTCTTTTACTCTCGAGAACATAAATAAAAACCCATTTTCCTTTTTTTTTTCGAAATTCAAGAACACAGCGTAAAAATTGTACAACGGGTCCTAGGCTTTAAACTCTCATAAAGACTACATGCATCGCATACATATATGAATTATAATGATATGAAACATATTTATGAGCATTTATTGCATTAATTGATGATGCATTCAAAGTCAAGATGATTTTGAAACCCATCTACGATAAATGAACGTATATAATAAGGGTAACGTTAAGCCATGGAGAAGGATTTCAATGTGGGCCAAATATGGGCTTTTTTATTACAAGTTACAACTGCTTTTCAATTAATGATTGTGAATGATCTACGATTCGATATATTTATTAATGTATCGTTTGGTTTAATTGAAGGTTTTTGAGTGAGGGGTTGTTTGTTTACCTCTTAATAGTTTTGTTAAGAGACAGTTTTTGAATTTGTAAGAGGTAAATCTTGTTTGACAAAAAAAAGTCTGCCTTTAGAACCATTCAATGCCCTAATTACGTTGCAAATAATTTACCAAACAATTATATTTTATTTTGAATTATATTATGAGAGCATCTTAATCGTTCTGATCACTTAATTATTCTGCATCAAACCATTTAACAATTGGCAAACAACCCCTGAGTTGGATTCTTAGAATTTGGAGTTAAAAGGATTTTGAATCTTTGATTTGTAGATTTGGAATGGAATTTGAATTTTATTATTTATGATTAATTTTTTTTTATAAAAAAACGAATTATAATTATCTTCTATTAGTTGATTGTTACAAAATAAACATTTTTTAAAACATTGTTACATATAAATCATATGAAATTCCGTTACATACCAACCATCTTTATGGAATTTCATTATCGTGTGATTTCAATTTAAAACTTTTCTTTAAACCTGATGCAGGATAAATGGAATCGGATCGAATTCGAAATCCTGTTAAATCCTGCAAACCAAATAAGACCTTAGGTGACATTTAAGGGCTTATTTGGTTTGATGCAATGGTTCTGAGATTTGGATTTCGTGGAAATGTCTGGAATTGGAGGATTTTCGATTTGATTTGTAACATATTTGGTTTCTTTGGTTTGTGAGAATTGGGATGGAATTAAATTATATTTTTTATAAATAATTTATAAAAACAAATTATAAACAATTATAAAAATAATTAAATTATTTTTTATCAATTGATTATTACACAACAAATGTTGTAACATATTTTAGAATATTATTACATACAAATCCTAAAAAAAATCATATATATGTAGGATTTCAATGAAATTCCGAGACCACTAATCTAGAAATTTCTTCAAACCAAGTATGAAGCTAAAATGAAATTCAATTTTCGCCGTTTCAAAATATCTTATTAAATTTTCGCCATTTCAAAAAAAAAATGAAATTCAATTCCCAATTCAATCAAATCTTATAAACCAAATGATACCTTTTCTGGTACGATGCAATTTCCAAGAATTATGAAATGGTAAATTACAATATTAATTATATTATTAATATATTTAATAAAATATTATTTCTCACCTATACATTTAATTTAAGAGACTTTTATTGGTGGGAATAATAATATATCATCTACCACTCCTCAAACTCGGTTATTAGTTTTACGAAGTTCTCTAAATTTAGAGAATTTTACGTTCTCTTTTATGTCTTTTTACATTTTGAAGAAGTTTTTCAAAGTTTTTGAAGAATCTGTTACATAAAAAAATAATCTCTAAACCTTCAATTTTCTCCATTTTGCAATTTATTGGCGATGCTCTTATCATTTAAACTCTGCTTGTTTCGTTAACACCCCTATGTGCAACTTTCAGTGAATACATCCCTAATCAAGCAAAATACCGACTTCAATTGGGTGTACATTTTATGTAATCCAAGGGACATGGTAGGTACATAAGCACAAGCCACTGTCTCATTCCTCCGTCAAATATAAAAAGGTTTTAGAGTCGTAAAAACTGCCACCATATTATTTTGTTAGATACAACCATATATATATATATATATATATATATATATATATATATATTTCTTAAAACTATAATAATAACACGACTCTTTCTTGATACAGTTGGTTTGCGTGTTTGTTTCTCTACTTAAAAAGGCTAAAACACATAACACTCGTATACAAAATTAAAAAACAAGAAACCAACCAACAAACCAATAATGATCATGTAAAAACAACGAAGGTTTATGACATAATTGGTTGAGATTCTAGGGGATTTGGAGGAATATTCCACCTGTCCATGGTTCGTATCCGGACTTGCATAACAATTGTAACCACTGAGTTTGTTATCACTGATTTCTTGTAGTCACAATTTGTCAAGATTAGTCCAGACATAGTCTGGGACACCTTTTCAAAGAGAATGATCTTGTAAAAAACATCCATAACTTCGTTTCTCGAGATCAAATGGTGTCACCGTTTAAAAAAAAATCAAGATCCGTCTCTCATATAATCACCACATACATCTCAAAAGCATAAGTACACATAATTCATAAAACATTGGGCATGAAGTTGTTCAGCAAAACATCTATAGTTTACCAAATCACACACAGAAATAATATATTTGCCAGTTTTCGGTTCAAATTCCAGCAAAATCATCGACAAACATAAACAGATTCAATAATCAAAGATAGATAGATAGATGTTAAGATCATAGGGGCATTTCAGGGACTAATATCTCCATACGAAACTAGACCCCTTTGACCGCCTGGTGAACTTGACCTGGACCTGGACCTGGACCGGCTTGGAGCCATAGATGCCACTTTCTTAGGATGCTTACCAGAAGGTGAGCTTGAGGCTGACCTAGTGGGTGAGACCGCCACCCTAGGTCCAAGACGGGATTTCAATTTGTCGCTTAAATTTGGTCGTCTTTCAATTGGACTAGAGCTGCGTCGAGGGCTTTGACTATTATGCCCATTCCTGTTGCGAGTAATGCTCCTGCTACGACTCCTTCGCCTGTATCTACAAAAGGGCAAAATTGGTATAAATGAAATAATCGATAAACCGTTGTTTTCCCGTTTATTATTCCGTTTCATGTACATGTCTCTTTGCAATTACTCCCTCGGTCCCAAAATAAGTATCCACATTTCTATTTGAAGTGGACTTTCCAATTCTACCCTTAATAATGATGTGGAGATATTCATTACTCGCTCTATTATCAAGGGTCGAATTGTCATTGAGTTAATTAAAATGTGTAATAATTACATGTTTCTAAAATTGTGTACCTTCTTCATTGCGGATATATATTTTGAGACAAAGGTAGTATCATATATTCTATCAGGAACGTCATGAACGTCATTCACGTCATACCATTACAATGCCCTCCCACCATATCGAAAAATATTTTTCTATGTACAGACAATGTGAACTCTCGAGATGCATTTCATTTATCGGGATCTTTTTCTATGCTCAGAGAATGAGAATAACTTTTTATATGAACGGCAGAACCGGACATGATTGGGCGGGAGAAGACGGGCAGGAGTGAGGTAGACAGGTGAAAGAATTGTTATAGGTTTTAGGGTTTTGATTTGACAATAATTTACCAATCTTGTCTCGTTTCCATTACTTTCGTTCTACCTATTTCGCTGTGCATTGTTTTGGTCCCACCCAGGTCCTATCTCAAGGATGCGTATACCATTAAGTTGACTGCCACTATCATTTACTCAATAAATGTGGTTCAATAATCGACACCGAGATGATTTCATCATTTCAATAAGAAAGGGAATGAAGTAAATACCACAGGCGATGAATTACAATATACAAAGCCATCACACAGATGGCCTGTATTTCCATCAAACCAATTTGAACCGCTCACATCACAGTAGTAGTAGCATAAAGGGGGGGGGGGGGGTAACGTAGGGCTATTACTCCTGGAAGTTTCAATCTTGTTGACGATGACAACAGTCGCGCTAGAGAGCGGTCTATTCTTCTTCCAAGGAGACAAAGTTCTCTCTTGCACTGACTGACAACAAGGTAGCATGTATGTAGTTGATTAGGATTTGGGCACATAGGAGTCGTAAGTATTAGGGCACTTGGTTTTTTGATTACGAACATAGCAGAGTCGAACAGTAACAAAATAGCGACAGGTGATTATCAAATTCGTAATCTAAGCTATCTTACATTTGTGTACTAAAAGTGGGCTGGATAGGCTAGAGAGAGAACGAATTATAGCATCAATCCATGAAAAATCCAAATTTTAAATGTACCTTTTGTGTTAAAATATAACTTTTGAAGTCAATGATAGGTGTACGCAACAGCAGAAGTACTAACATAATGAAATCACAAGAAATTCTAGAACAGTTGAGAAAGGAGTAAGAACCTGGGGGGGCTCCTGCCTCTTGGTGGACTTCTGTGTCGTCGTGGTGGGGAGCGCTCGGAATATCGTCTATAATTTGGATATCTAGTAGAATTCAAGTTTTATGCGGTTATCATTAGCAAGAAGAAGAAACTAAATGTAAGATGCAGAATAGAAAGACGAGCCACCATGGTTTTACATTTGGACTATAATGCATGGTCACCCTTACGAATGACATGCCACCACTTTTGACATTGGATACACAATAGTTCGTTTGGGCAAAATAGTTGATAACCGGCAACCCCAACCGTCCCCACATGGAACCCGCCTCCAAGGATACCAATGGGAGAGGGGATTTTTTTGGCTCACCCTTTTGCCAACTGAGCTACACGCAAGAGGCAGGTTCAAAAGAAATAGTTTGTCACTTGCTCCCTTTGTCCCAAAATAAGTGTCTTGTTTTCTTTCCAATTATACCCTTAATTACAAGATGGAGAAATTTATTGCTCCCTCCATCATTAAGGATAAAATTGTCATTTAGTTGATTAAAAAGTTCATTTTTCTGTATTGTCTTTTTCATTGTGGACATTTATTCTGGGACGAAGGGAATACTACAAAAGCGGCATAAACACATTTCAACATTCTCCCTTCGGAATTGAACTTGCAATCTCTAAGTCCTAAAGCACGGCACATACCATTATGGGAAGCCACTTTCAGTAAGTAAATGGCTGGCCTGTCAATAGCCATTGACCAGATAAAATGCATATTTATTTTTCAGAGAACAGACGGTAAAACATATTGTTACCTATCATGATACCTTCCTTGACCATATCCAAACTGATGAGACCTGCGAGGAGACTGCTCAGGGCTTGGTGTACGGTATCTCCGTGCAAAGGAATACTCCTTAGTGAAACCTCTCCCTTTTCTAATTCGTTTTGGAGTACCATTTGGCGATCGGCTCCTCGACAGATCCTTCTCGGCCACAGACGATCGAGAGGCTTTTTGTGAAGGACTCCTTGAAAAACTTCTCACCTTTTCTTGACCAGATTTTCTGGATTTAGCATCATTAAGAAGACTCGAGCTCCTTGTAACCCTCTTTGAGATCGGGCTTCTACTTCTCCTAGAACCACTCCTTACAGGACTTCGGTCACTCCTGATCAAAATAATTATTGGAAAAAATCATGCATAGAAAAACACAACATATGTGAGCGAGCAACTAGAGACGGCCAAAATCCGATTCTAGGCCGGACTGGACCGGGCCGGATTTTTCCTTTCAGTAACCGGTCCCGGTCCCAGTCCCGACCAAAAACTCCTGGCCCGTTCTCCATGTAAAAAGCCCAGTCCCGGGCCAGGCCCAGAACCAGTCCCAACTTCTTTTTCCCAAAAATCAATTGTGAACATATAAAAGATAGTGTGTGAAGATTTTTTTGTGTATAATATCTTATTGAAATACACTTTAAAAAATCTATAATTGGGTCATTCAAATGCACTCAAAATCTTTTTTTAAATCTTTTTCACACAATAATGTTATAAATGTTTCTGTAATTACAACTTTTGAAATTTAGTATTGGAACACTTGAAAAAGCTTCAAAAAGAACATGATTTTTTTTAAATTGAAGTTTTTGGTAAAAAAAATTGAAGTTTTTGGTAAAAAAATTGAAGTTTTTGGTAAAAAAATTGAAAATCTTGTAGAAATTATGAAAAACTTGATATATAATTTATAAAAATGTGTTTTTATAAAAAGATCGGGCCTATGTATAACCAGTCCCGCTCCTGTAAACGGTCTTGAGCCAGGCCTTGAATTTTCATAGAAATCGTAACCAGTCCTGGTCCTAAAGCCGATCCCAGTCCCGTCGGGGCCCATTTTAGCCATCTCTATGAGTAACAGAGGTAATAAATCACACAACTACAGTAAACCTGGATTTATTTGAGTCGTCTGAATGCGGAAGTTGATTAGAAGGCTTATCGGATTTAGTTTCCTTAACAATGCCACTTTTCAGAAGCTCGGCATTCTTCAGCATTGGCTCTTGTTCTTCATGTAATGAGGTAACTACAGTTTTCTTTGAATCATGATCCTCTTGCAGTTTTGCGTCGGGTTCTTTTCGTGAAAAATTTGGTGGGGTTTTCTTGTCTACATATGTAACACCAAGTAAGTGCTGCGTTGAATTATCAATGTGAAAGATTGATAAAAACGATTTCTAAGCAACTTCTTTTAACTATTCAGTTGATTGAAGTTGGTTCACTACAAGTGCGTTTGGTATCTAGACAGAACAGAACAAAACAGGACAGCTCATAAGCATTTGGTATGGCAGGATTGGACATGACATAACAGATAAAATGACCAATTTTCCCCTAATGAGTTGTTTATATATTTTGATTAATTTATGTAATTTATTAGATTATAATAAAATAAATATTTTTAAAAATATCATTATAAAGTTTTCGTCATCACAATTAGAATGACACCAAAATAAAAAGTATATGTAGTTTCCAATATTTATTTTACACCTATTCTACATTATTTTTATTATTAATTTTTGATAAATTACATAAATTAATCAAAATATAGAAACCCTATAAAATTAATATTTTGAGGACAGTAAATTGAAAGTTTAAAGGGCATAAAATACAATAAATAAAATTTAAATAATGAATAAAATGTAAAGAGGGGGCGTATTTGATGTTTTAGAAGAGAATTAGGTTTTATTTTGAGGTTATATTGGTAAAATATGGGTCTGTTCCACCTTGTTCCATGGGGTGAGAGTGGCACATGCCTGTGCCACTTTGTTCCACTGTTTCTAAAGTCCTGCCAAACGTGGAACAATGATCCATGTTGTGTCATGTCCAGTGTACCAAACGCACCCTACATGGTAACAACGTTGATAAAAGGAAAAGACTGGGATACCAGAACGACTTGGAGGCCTACTTTTAGTCTTTGCAACACGCCGATTTGCTTTTTCATCATCAGAGCCACTACTGCTAGTACTCTTGCTTTCTGTTTCACTTGAACTCTCTGAGCTCCTAAGTAAGCCAACTTCTATAAGTTAGAAAGATGACACTAATGCTGTGTGATAAATGATGAGAAAACCCGTATGAAAAGAGATTATGTTATATATATATATATATATATATATATATATATATATATATATATCCCCAAATCATACCATTTGGACTTCCGCTTTGATCTTTTGCCAGCCAAACCTCTCTTTTCTTTCCTTGCTTCTCTCCGTTTGGTCTTACGCTGTTTGCCATCTTTCATCGTTGACTTTTTCTTCCGACGTCTTCCATCACTAGACGAACTTGAAGAATCTGAATCAGCTTCTGAATCTGACTCCAAGTAGGAATCACTCTCTGAAGAATAAGATTCGGAATCTGAACCAGAGCTGGAAGACTCGGATGATGAGTACTTCTTTCGTTTCTTCCTTTTATCCCTGATGGTTTTACCACGGCGTTTTATGCCCCGCCCATCAGAACTGTCATCAGAAGAAATAGCTTTCTTCCCGGATTTTTTCCTTTTACCTAAAAAAGGGGAAAGCATCGGGAAGTACGTATTTAAAATTAATCTGCTTCAGTTGGATTAGTTAAGCAAGGCTTCAAGGAAGTATCAGAAAAAACCTTTCTCAGACTCCACCGCATTGTTCTTTTTATCTTCGGAAACCTCACCACAGTCAGTGATTTTTACCAAACCAGAAGGTTTTCCATCAGACGTTCCCAACTGCTCAATCTTCTTAATGGTTTCCATTCCCTTTACGACCTTTCCAAAAACGACATGTTTCCTGCCATATAATAATTGATACTAGGGTTAGTATAAATGATCCGTTTAAGTTGGTTCATCTCAAGTCCTCAAAGCAGATGACTAATTATAATTAGGGGGGTTGGTGGTGTGGTTTGGGTTAAAAACCGCAAACCGCACGGCATAGGTGGTTTGAGCATTTTCATAAACCGCAAAAACCAGCACCACAATATGCGGTGCGGTTTATGCGGTTTGTACCTAACGCACTTTACCCATACACTCCAAAAATTATAAGATTAAAACTTCATTATAAAATCAACGATAATGTGACCGTAGTCCAAAAAAATAAAAAGTTCAACACATTTGGTTCCCAAATACATATTACACAAACTAGAAATAGTCTAAGAAGAAAAACATCAACTTCAAACTAAATCGTTGAGACTTGAGAGTAAACTAAGGTAGAAGCCGCAAATCAACACAAAATCAAAAAATTGGTGAAATCATGTCGTGGAAGTTTCTTAAAGCCCAAAAGGATCTAATGGATTATTGGACTTAATTTATTTAATATTATCGATCAAAGTCTAAAACTTTGGACATAGTAATGGACCACGGAGAAAATAGATTAAAAATATTACATAAATTTAGCAATAATTCTCTCTCTATATATACATATGTTATATATATAAAATAAAAAATATGTACATATATGTATAATGTGTGGGGGAAGGGTTCAAACGAGAACACCTTCATTTTACGAGAATGAACGAACACCCTTTTACTATAGACAACCACATGTGATACTATAATTCCATCACAATCAGAGACGCGGACGACTTTTGGTGCCATCTTGGTTGCGGGCCAAGTTGCCCTTATACCACTAAGCCCCCTCACATGTATTATCACATGTGATAAAGGTGCTATTGATGTGATACTATAATCCATCAAGACCATCACATATGATACTAAATCATAGACGCATAAGACCTTTGGTGCGACCTAAGTCGCAGGACAGGTCGTACACACTCCACCAGGTCCCCTCACGTGTATTATTACATGTCATAAGGGTGTTCTCGCATTCTCTTGAAATGGAGGTGTTTGCTTGAACCTCCACCCGATGTGCGGGATGCGGTTTGAATCGCAGTTTGATAACTCAATCGCAAACCGCAACGCATAGTGCGATTTGGTAAAAACGCAAGCCACAAACCGCACCAGGGAAGTTCTAAACCGTGCTTTGCTGTGCGGTGTGGACGGTTTGTGCATTTGGCAGTTTAGATGAACACCCCTAATTATAATAATATGTCCATAATTTTAATCAGACAGACAAATGATACTGAAAATCCAGAAAAAGGAGAAGGTTAACAATTACCCATCAAGATGGGGTTGACGCTTGAAGATTATAAAGAACTGAGATCCATTTGTATTTGGGCCACCATTTGCCATAGAGAGCATACCAGCCCCACTATGGTCCAGCTTGAAGTTCTCATCTACGAGGAGAGCAGAACGTATTAGCATTAACAAGAATGCTCATAAATCTTGCAAATAGAAAACAAAAAGAAATTTATTTTAGATTGTACCTGCAAACTTTCCTCCATAGATGCTTTCCCCACCAGTGCCTGAAAACCATGAAAAGGTCATACCTTACAAATCGGGGCCTGCAGATAGAAGTTAAAAAGAGCTTCTCCACTCTGTCAAGAACGAGATTTTAAAAAATGCATACCATTTTGTTTTGAGAAATCGCCTCCCTGCAAAGCAATGAAAAAAGTTAATACACAGGTGACCATGCAAATGTATAGAATGATAACAACCAATATTCGTATATATAGTAATATAGACAGAAATAACTTGCGCAAATATAGAAGCAAGAATATAGTGAAAGAGCCTCTTTATTTATTTGCTGAGTTTTACAATCCCTTCCTCCCTTTCCTTCGTAATAAACACATGGAAGATCCATGCATGCCAATCTCAAGGCAAATCATCCATGATTTGACAGAACTATCTATCCATCAACTTACAAGTAAACAAAGGCACAAGTTTAATATATGCTCGAAATGAGATCTTTTATTAACACGGTAGCACTTGAAATTTGATTCATATCTAGTAAATAGACAACGATATGTGCATCACTTGATAAACCAAACTTTGATGCCGGCATGACTAAATGGAATTCATACTCCACACAGAATGTTGTGAAGTGCGCCTTTCTTATCAAAGACAGCTAATATACAGATGGTATGTTCTGGTAAGCAAGAAACAATAAAACAAACATATCCTAGATAATAAAACAAAACTCAAATGAAACATATAAGAACATAGAAAGGCGAAACAGGGTTGGACCTACGTTCTTCAATCAGTATTCAATTTTTTGTAGTGTGAAAAGAATTATTGTAGTGCATACCAAGGTTAATTCGGTGCCCACTACAGCTAAAAATGGGTATCATTTAAAAATCATGTGACCTCTGATAAGAGTTCATGGAGATGCAAGACTAGGGATGGAGATCTAGATGGGAGGAAGGGAGCTTGAGAGATAAAGGGTAGGGGTTAGGGTTAGTGAGCCGGTATTTAGGTTTTACGTTGTTCCTGCAGTTGACTCTGTTTGTATTGTTTTCGAGAACTTATTTCCAGCTTTCTAAATTTAAGTGTACCTGCTTTTCTCTCTTTCACACACTTTTAAGGGGTCTACATGGAAACAGCCGTTCTACACTGAGGTTGAGGTCACGTCTGCATACATCTTACCCTACCCATATCCCACCTCCGGGTAGGATATAATAGACCACTAGGCTTGTTTGGTTTTTATCCATCTTGTTTCTACAACATGGCACTCCTTTCCCCTAAAAAATAATGATAACGATATCAAATGTTTAAGAGGTCATTTACTGAAAGTGAAAGAATGGTTGCTGGTTTACTGAAAGGATAATCTGCCAATTACACCCACTCCTTGCAATTACACAAGTCCAAATAGAGGCGGATTGTTCAGGGAGAGGCACAAATATTTTCCTGAAAAATGATTTGTGAACAGTTTGGGCTGAACTTCTTATAAAATGCTTGCCTATATCTACAAAATACTGTTACACTATACATAGCCAAAGCAGTCCTAGGATATGATTGTGCATTCAAAGAAAACCTTTAGTTACATCAGTGAATATATACTGTATGCTCATAGAGTCAAAACTAATGGAGATAACCATATAAACTTACTTGAGCCATGAAGCCTTTAATAATTCGATGGAATATAATTCCCTTGTAATGCAATGGTTTTCCAGTAGTGCTTCCAATGCCCTTCTCCCCTACACAGTAAATTAATAATTTAATGACATGCATATGTATGTCTTTTCGGTATATTGGATGCATTAAGCCCTGCCAATGACAAGTACCTGTGCAAAGTGCTCGAAAATTCTCAGCTGTTCTGGGGACAACATTGGCAAAAAGCTGCATTTAAGGTCATTACTTTCCATTAGCATCTTACATTCATAATGAAGACATATACAGCTACATGCTAAGACATTTCTTAAACAAGAAGGAAAGATGAACCAAAGCAACGATCACATTGATGTTCATGATGCATAAAAACAAGCGCAAAATGCATCAACATGCAACAAAGTTTGGTTTAGTTCCTATTTAATGTAACATTTTCTTTTATCAACCTATGTAACAAAGTTTCAGATATTCCAATTTTCACCCGAAACCTAATGATCTTGTAGCATCTGATGACGTGGATACCCTTCTACAAAATTTTACAAAAGGGTAACGGCGAAGGGGACTGTAAACTTATATTCACATCATCAAATGTTATAAAATTAGTAAGTTACCAGATAAATTGGGTAAAATAATAGGAAATTTTGGAACTTTGTTACATTGTTTGGAAACTTTTCTTCATTACACTAATAGGAACGAAGTCAAACTTCGTTCTGTTCTGATGTATTTTGCCATACAAACAATAACCAGAAAACCGACAAATGATACAGTGGCTGAAGGAAAATAACAAACAAATGTAGACCAAAGTCACCAAACCTAGTTCCTTGGTACAACATATTCACCTCAATGACGATCCTCTCCGTGGGACTTCCATCCATTGACAAGTCCAAAAACACACAAGGATTTTTCTTCTTACTCATCTCTTCACAATGCAGATCCTAGAACAAACAATTACCATCAGCACATGATTCCAGATACATAAATAAGACAAGATCTGAACTATTATATGTCAATGAAGTCGTTCTCCTCGAACCTACACCAAAAGAATTAGGTAACAATACAACATTGATCGAGTGATGCTCGAATTCACAGTTGTAGTGACATAAATCAATAAAACAAACATGAGAAACGATTACAGCTACGGAAATGCATATATTTCCACTCGAAAATTGCCAAATTCACCATACCATCAGAAATGCTTCGACTAATGGATAAAACCCTAAACCCTAGCAGTATCATACATTAACGAAGAAGCCATCTCTAGTCATTCTCCAAAAATATTTCCTGTACTAAAACTTGCATCATCATGATGTAACTTTCTGAAACAAACTACATGTATAAAATAGAAGACGAAAGATCCAATTGGTTAATTAGAACTTTGAGATGAAACTCGTAATGGTGCATGCATCGATTGAGATTCAACGTCGTGTAGTGATTGAACCAGTAGTCGGGGTATGAGTGTAAAGAGAGGGAAAAGGTCGGAAAATTTCAAGAGAGGGAGAAAACTCACCGGCGGATGGCGGAGGGCGGTGGCGAACGAGAGACTTTTTGGTGTGTGTTTTCCTTTTTCTTTTTCGCTTCGCTCCTTGGTTGTATTTTTAACAGAAAATTGGAAAATGGGTTTCATTACCAAAGCAATGGCGTATTTTTTTATTTTATTTTTAATCTTAATATCATCATCTATTTTATGAGTTACTGCATTTGAACCTTCGTGACCATAATATGATCTTATTATTTAGAATTATGTAAAATTGATACAACAATTATTCTGATTTTAATAGATTCTTTAGAATAAAATAAAAAATATTTCTAATAGGATATTTAAAATAGAGAAACTAAAATTTTGTTTCAACATACTCTTTATTTTTATTATTTAAAATAGATAACGTTTTAAGTTTTATTTTATTATTTATGTATATATGAATACATATATATATATATATATATACAGAGAAGAGGGATAAAATGTAAACCAAACTATTTGTACAAACCGTGAAAACCGTCGATTTTATTGTTTATTATAGTGGAAAAATTCACGAAATTGTTTAATATGATGAAATTGTTTTAAATAATTCATTTCATGATGAAAATGTTTCTTATATTTTTGTTTTTATGTAAAAATTAAATTATTTCATGTATTTCTCATCTTGATGAAATTTATTTACTAAAATTAATAGAATGAAGATGATAATGTTCATAATTATTTGAAATGAATTATTTGAAACAATTTCATAAAAAAAGAACTTCACTAAAATAAACAGTGAAATCGACAGTTTTTGCAGTTTGTAAAAATGATTTATTTTGCAAAATATCTCTATATACACACACACACTATATTATAAAACATTTGATCAAAACTATTAAAACCATTTTTATATATGAAATATTATTTATTGATGCATATTACTTAAATTTCAAGATTAAAATAATTGTATGTAAGTACAACTTATTAAAGTTTCATGTTTGAATTCATGTAACTAACTGCAGATAAACATAATTAAATACATAATAACATCTAATGTTAAATATAAAAAATCTAAAATATAATTAAGATAAACAATGATATCTAACATAATACTTAACTATTATTTTTATAAAAAATTATATTATTAAACCAAAAATAAATTACTTTGCTATTAAAATTAAATTTAATTATAATAAAATTTAATTAAAGAAATTACACCAAAAAAAACTTTTAAATGGTTAATTTAATACTAATAATCGATGTATATATTTTTTTCAAAATTTTATGATATTTACAAATTTTATATTTTATTCAAAAATAAATCAAAATAAGACAAAATTGTATTATAACGTCAATAGAGACAAAAAAAAACGTAGCATTAAATCGAAATGTATCTTGCTGCATTACACAAGTACCCTTCTAATATAGATACATACATGTACATATACATACATGTGTGTGTTTTTGTTTATGTAACCAAATATGAATTTTTTGAAATAATTACCTTAATTGATGATTTTAAATAATCGATCACATTTAATATAAATAAAAATAAAATTAACCAATAACATATATCTTATCTTAGGGGTTGATATGGTGAGTATTATGCATTAGTCATGCTTATGTGTGTTTGTTTCTTTGTAAATACGGGTGTTTATGGGTTAGATTGATCGGGTTGAAAATATTTGAAAAACTCAACTTAATGCTTATGGTTTAAAAAATCTTAACTCAACCCAACCTAAACCGTACGGATTGGTCGGGTTGATACTTTGGTACATTAGAATATTATTCTAACATTGAATATGTTATTTATCTACTCATAATTTTTTTCATCATCAATCATTTGATACAACTTATCTATATTTTTTATGTATATCACATTCAGTTAATTTTTTCAATTTACATATATATGTTTACAATTACTGAAAATATATACAAGTGAGTTATATAGAGATGTAAATAGATTGAAAATATGTGTATATGAAGAGCGTACATGATAGTGTAATTGTCTAGTGTATATATTAATAGCAATTCCACAATCATATTAAATCCAAGAAATAAAAGGATATGGGGTTCATCGGGTCGGGTTGAGTTCAAATAATAGTAACTCAATTTTAATCTAATACCTACGGTTTGAAAATTTTACAACTTGATTAGACATCGGGTTGTTTCGTGTTGAGTTATTTAGTGTTGGGTTGGATTGGGTTGGGTTGATCGGGTTTTTGAGCACTCCTACTTGTAAACATCCACAATGTGTTTTTATAGGTTTTAGGGATGTTTTTCAAAAAAAATAAAAAAAAATCTTACTTTGAGGTTTTTAGTCAAAGATTATCATTGTACGACCTATTTTTTCAAAGGTTTTTCGTATTTAATCAGTTTTAATTTTATAGAATCTTATAAAAAATTTATAGTTAATTAATGTTATTAATATAATTAATAAATAATACATAATTAAAATAATTATATATTTTTTGATATATTTAATCAATAAAAAATTTATACGTTTTAACAAAATAAAATTACGAATTATTGGAAAGCCCAATTTTTATAATTTAATTTTTTTTAAATATTATACATACTTTTATACAACTTTTATGAATTTTTTTATAACCCAATTTTTATACAATTTTATAAAATTCAAGGATTTTTTAGAATAATTATATATGATATATTATTGTATTAATATATTTAAATAAAAAGTTTATGTGAAATAAGTACATAATTAAAATAATAAATATTTTATCAATAAAAATGGATCTTGTCGATATTTATGGGACACCTCTTTGATATCGATGAATGGATGAACAACGATCATCATTGTAATATTGGAGTAGTTGTTCAATCGAATTCATTTATATTTATATTTTCATGAACGGTTTTTTTCCCATCTAAACTTGTCCCGACGTTTTTCGACAAAATCATCTCTCGTTTTCGTATTTCTAACACAATAAGAGGGTCATAAACACATGTAAACGAGTAGGGAAGATCTTACTTAAATACACAAATAGGAGGGGTTCATATTTGACAGACACTCTTAGACCCTTACTGTTATTATTTTGACATCACGCAACTCGAACTTACATAAGACCATAAACACCGAATATGTACAAACTAAACCATTATGACGAGGTCCAAACTCGCATAAGCCCACAAACACCAAATCTATATACAGACTAAATCAACGCTTGACCCTTAAAGCAGCTCGACTGCAGTGCTCCACAACCATAAAGTTTATTCGGTACAAAGGCAATCCAAGGGTTTCCATATTAAGTGATCATATATATATATATATATATATATAGATATATATATAAAAGTCAAATCTAGTGAGAATCACAAATATATTATAAACTCGTAAGAACCGATACAAAAAATATTTATTTACATGATATTTTCCCATCAAATACTATGATTTAAGATATTGTTTTACATTTAATTTTTTTCATAATATGATAGTTTTACATGTATTTGTTTCACCGTGTGAATATTTTTTATGCGTATTTTTCATTCCACTAAGTGAATCAAATTTTTTTACCACATGTAATATTTTCATAACGTGAACACAAACATATGTGATACAATATATTAAATCATAGGTTTTGATGAAAAAATTCATGTAATTTTTTTATATCGGTTCTCACGTGTTTGTAATATATTTGTGGTTCTCATTTGCTTATATATATATATATATATATATATATATATATGTGTGTGTGTGTGTGTGTGTGTGTGTCAAATACTTATGCACATTCCCTACCTCTAGTAAGTTGAGCTTTTGACTTTTTAAGAGACTCAACTCTACCGACCAAGGCAAACTTAAGGGATTGTTTGTTTATCTCTTAATGGTTTTAAAACCCTCTAAATTATTTTGTATCATGGGTCTCCCTTAACTATTAAGCGCTCTAATTTCATTGCAAACAATTACCAAACAATTATATTTCACTTTACACTATATCATGAGAGTCTTTTAATCATTCTGACCACTTAATCATTCAACATCAAACCATTCAGTAACTACCAAACAGCCCATAAGATAAAAAAAGATGGGTTACAGCTAACTGCCATAAATTTTTTATTTTTATTTTGTTCCATTAGTGTACTTTGACCCATGTAAATTTTTGTTCATTGAAAATCGACTTTTTTTTTTTGTTAATTGTTAATTAACAGTACGTGTTATATTCTTGTTAATTGTTTATTAACAGTATGTGTTCTATTCTTAATGTCTAATTATTATTGTTAGAGTTTGAATATGCATGCCCAATCTATACTATATAATAAAACATTTGATAAAACTCTTAAAAACCATTTTTTATACATGAAGTACTGTTTATTGATGCATATTACTCAAAATTCAATATTACAAGTAAATTGTACGTAAATACAATTTATTAAAACTTCATGTTTGAATTCGTATAACTAACTGCAGATAAACATAATCAAATTAAGATAAACATCTCATTTAAATATATAAAAATTAAAATATAATTAGAATAATTATTGAGTTCTAACAAAATACTTAATTAGTATCTTCATAAAAAAAATATATTATTAAACCAAAAAAATGAATTAAATAAATACACAAAAAAGGATAAATTTTATATAGTCATTTTGATACCAATATCAATATTTTTTTTCAATTTTTTATGATATATCTTCGTATTTATATTTTATTCAAAAATAAAAACATTATCGTTTTTTTAAAATCACATAAAACTGTATTATAAAATCAACCGAGACAAAAATAAAAGAAAATATAAAATTCAAAATGTATCTCGCTGCATTGTGCGAATACTCTTCTAGTTGTTTAATTATTTTGATGTAATGATGCCTAAATTAATTATAAAATGTTTTCATATTACGTCACTTGAATCCCGAGGCACTGTGGAAGAAAGAACTTCGCTAGTTTACCGCACGTAGCAGTCCTAGTAAATACTTGCACTAGGTAACCATACATGAAGGGGAAACTTTGCAGATTTAGCTGAGAAAAGAGTCGAGTCGATTAGGCTCGACGACCGAGAGCCGATATTTCTAATCCCTTCTAACTCGAAAGTAGGGTCATAGTATACGGATACCCCTGTGATAGACATAGATACCAAGATATTGGTGAATACCACATGATCGAGAGCAGCTCCCTCGTGTTCGATATGATCAAGGTCTAAA